TATATATATACGTTATTTTTTTTAATACTTTTGTAATACACATACTTTTTTTTAATTGCCAAATGTTTTACTAATTTTTTTTTTGACACGTATATATTATATGAATATACATACTTCTAAAAATAGTGAAAAAATAACATAAAAAAATTGGGGCTTTTTTGAGAATTTTTGAGAGTATGTATGGATTAGTGTTTGAAAAATTACCTTATTATTTTATTTAGTTACTCATTATTTTTATTAATCAATTAATGAATATTATAAGATGGTAAAAGTTAAATAAATAAATTTTTAAATTTTTAATTAAAATAATTAAAATCAATACAAGGTAACATATATATATATATATATATTATTATATTGTATTGTATACGTAGTGAAAATGAGATCCCATTTTATGGGGGTTGAATTAGCAAATTGAAAGGAATGAATAGATCCAACCAAAACTCCAATAATCTCTCTATGCCTTTCACATACCATCCAGAAATCAACAAGCAGACACTCATGGCAGGTCTACCTCTTGTCTTCTGCTACCCATATATATGTACATATGTATGTATATATTTGTGTTTATATATATTTGTGTGGTCTAGTGAGTTTCACTAGTTCCTTTACACGTGAACAAGAGAGACAACGTATGCCCACCATTAATGCCATTAAAAATTTGGATATTCTTAATTTTATGTCATACATGTATATATATAATTGGTTAATAATAATATTGAAATATTTACATGTAATATATTGTAATATTTGGATATTCTAAAACCGCCCCCGTGACCAATAACAATCGCAGTTCTTTTTTGTCACAATCAGCGGGGTATATATATATATATATATATGTGTGCAATATGTATACATACATGCGCACACACACACACACACACATATATATATATATATATGTCATGTGTACAATGCATGCTATAGCCATTACCGGTTCAAACAATTTCTGTATAAACATGGTAGATCTTACAATGGAACTTGTCTCGTGTACGGTTTAATTATGTATATTAATATAAAAATTAATTAGAAATTAAATTAAAATGAATTCCAAACACCTAATGTGCTTATATTATATAACTTAAAGCAAACCAAATAAACGATGTGCTAGCTTCATGTTGTGAGTATAATTAACTATATACATACATACATACATACATATATATATATATATATATATACATATGGACTTATTTTCTACTAGTACATGGGAGAAACAACAACGATTAGCATGCAGACTTGCATGTGGAAATTAATGAAGTCTCGATTTGAAGAATCTGTTGATGTTACTTGTTGAAGATATATATGTGATTGTGTGTGTGTGTGTATATATGCCTATATATATATATATATATATATATATATATATATATATATAGCTAGTAGAAAATATATTGAGTTCAAATAATAGAATTGCTGGGTGGGCGAGATAATTTAGTTCCCGATAGAGAAAGACAAAGTAATATAGCTGTCAAGAGAGTAAGTTGTATTTTGTCTGTATGAATAATATCTCTGTGCGCATATATATATATATGTGTGTGTGTGTGTGTGTGTGTATACACACAACAGGCTACCTTTGGATTTATAACAGCAAAGCTGTTTGTATGTATTATAGGCATTAGAATTCTAAGAAGACAGATGGAAAATGATCTCTTGTGTATAATTCATCTATACTTATATGTATATATATATAGATTTATTTCTGAAAGAGAAAAATCCCAGAGCTGTATATACAGCTAGGGGTTTTCATTAATGAAAATGACCTCTCTTCTCATTCTTTTTAATGAATTAAGAGCTTCCTCATCTTTTTACTCCTATATATATATATATGTTTAAATAATATATTAATTATTATAATTATGCAATACAAACATCAGTCCGATGTTGTTTACGGGATTAAGATTGATGGGTATACATACATCTTTATGTAACTGGGAGGTGACACATACATACATATATATATATATATATATATATACTTACATTATTTAGATCAATCATACATACATATGTACATATGGAACAAAATTGTTCGTCTGAATTTGTTGGAAGTTATGAGGGAACTTTACAGATTTAAAAAATTAATTTTGTATTGTACATATGCATGTGAATGTACTTTCCCGAAGAGAAGCTCCTCACGTGAGTTTTTTTCTAACAAATCTACAAGAATCCTATAAAAATTCTTACCACTAAAATTAAACAACAAATCTAATTTAGTTACCGACTTATAATTTTTTACATAAAATTCAATTTATTAATAGCATGTAATTTAAATCTTTATATAGAACTTAATAATTATATATATATTTTTTTCTGATATATAATTAAAATACTACAATCTTCATCATTCATTCAAGTTCTTAATATTCTCATAAAAGTTTTAAATTATATAATCACAAATTATAATTCAAAACTCATAAAGTTAAAGATTTGAAACTCAATAATTAAATATTTTTTTAATATAAAATTAAAGTATCATAATAAATGCGAGAGATATATTAATTAATAACGAAATAATAATCCAAATATATTTGAAAAAAAATTAAACTTAAAGTTGGTTCTATTCATTCATGCTATATGAATCATTATATCATAGTTTATATAGCTTTATAGCTCTGAAACAATGGATATTCCTTAGTTTGATTATAACTTATCTTAAATCGAACGTCTTATGAGGGAAGAACAATATATATATACATGTACGTATATTCATTATTACAGCCAATAGAATTGCTAAATTGTTGGCCTAAGGCCTATTAATTTCCACTTTTTTCTTTAATTAAAAGATTATGTGTGTGTGTGTGCGAGTATATCTATATATATATATATATATATGTAAGTGGATGCATGTAATGTTAATCAATCAGCTCTAATTTTACCTTCTCAAGATAGTCATGAGAAAATTTGACCGAGCCAAAATGTAAATGTCACGAGAAGCATTTATGAGTTCAGCTACCACTACATTACTTGCATTTATACGGCTGGATCTTAAATTATGTTTTGTTTTTCATTTTAATTCATCACATGGTATCATACATATCCTCTATATATACATTTATATTGCTAAAATGTTACGTTTTATTAAATCCGTGCATAGGTAATGATGTGGTACATATACTTATTTTACTTAAAACTATAAGTACCTCATATTCAAAGGTATTTTTCTACGTATTTTTTTTATAAATCTTGATAAATAATAAAATTATATGCTGAAATACTAATTTATTATAAGACATAATTTCAAAGTATAATTTGAATTATATAATTAATTAATTAATATATATATATATTAAATTAATTGATCTTACATTTTCACACACACACAAAAAAAAAAAAAAAAAAGCAATGCACTTATAAAATCATGTGGTCGTATTTTAACGCACCAAGTATCTAGCTAGGTAGACAGAAAACCGCGTACAGGTCAGCAACCTAAAATGCACCTAGCTAGAATAATTCACATAGCTTATTTAATAATTAAAGTGACAATTCGCATGATTAATATTTAATTAATGGGTCTTAATTATTAATTACTAATTAATTTTTTTAAAAAAAATATAATCTCGTACGACAAAGGAGTTAATTAAATATTACCATGTCATTAATTGTTGGGTTTAGAGTAAAGATGAACAGCATTAAGCCGTACTTAGCTTATAAAACATGTGAAATTCACGAAATCAATATCAAATCCAAAAGAGAATCTTCTCCATCTCCAAACTTTTTTGCAACTTACACCAAAATCATATCTGGTAATTTCGCAATAATTACTCTTAGACTTTGTTAAATTGATATTAATTATCAGATTTTTTTATAAAATATAAGTAAAATTTTATTATTATTATTTTTAAAGAATATATTAACTCAATTCGTACTTACATATAGTTCATGAGATTTTATGTAACTTATTATGTCTTGTTATTTTAGAAAAATAAAAAATTATAGGCTCATGATGAATTTTAAACTTTGTTTGATGATCGTTTTGAGAAGATTTAATGATGATATTTATAAAGGATATGATTTGTGTGTGTGTGTGTGTGTGTGTATATATATGTGTAATTATTAGAAGTGGTCATGAATTATATATGTATATATATATATATATATAACACGTAACATGTGAAAAATTAGTAAAAACAGGTGGGAGCTATGAAGACAAACAATTGCTTATCTGTTTAATTTGTATGTTTCCAACTTTTTGGTAAAATCGTCTTGTATCGATAAGCATCCAGTCACGCTCATTCTACAGAGCAAAGCTGTATGTAGTTCTCTCAAATCACGAATCATATATATATATGTATATGTATATATACATACATACATGCACCACCTTTGTATATTATTTAATGAAGTATATAAGATCACTTTTATATAAGCCTGGACCTAAAACCTGTCTGCCTGAACTACTGTTTGTTATTTGGATTGAGTCAATATGCAATCATATATGGGTGAGAGGAGGAAGAGGGAAGGGAAAGGTGTGGAGGAGGTATATGTAGATATAATGTGTATGTATATATGGAGAAATGATCAGTTGTTTTGTTGTGATGATTAAAGGGCGCACATGTGAGTATAGGGGTGGCTACGTACGTCCTTCATTTGTCTCTGTTCAATGAAGACAATGCTGCGAACCATTTTTCCATTTCATTCACTGTTTCCCCATAGTTTTCTTCAGATCTCGTGACATAATCATAATACATATAACTACGTGCTCATATATATATATATATATATATATATACACACACACACGAACATATTAACTCAAACGAAGTATGCATATCTATGAGATTCTCTCTATGTTAATTAGGGTTAAGAGTCATAGTTTTTGCTCCTGCCATTTACATGGGTTAACATAGATGGATTATACAAACTGATTACCTTTTGTTCTTGCGTGCATGCATGGTATATATATATATACGTATGCACATATATAAATGATAATTTGGTATACGTAACTTGATGAAATGAATAAATATACATGTGTATAGGAGCCAATGAACAGTACATAATAAGCAAAATAAATGATCAATTAATTAATGCATAAGATAAGATTAGAATATAATTAATTAAATTGAATATAGAGAAGGAAGAGCAGAGATGGACAAGGAGGTGTCGGGTGAATAGGGGAGAGAGAAGTGAAGAGAGAGAGTTTTCCCCCGTGAGGCGTGTTTGGATGGATTCAGAGAAAAAAACTCCAAAAATGCTTCACTTTCTTTTCGATGCCCAAAACATTTTTCACTCTCATCTCCTCTCCATCACGAGCTCACCATTCGCTTTCTCTCTTTCTTAATTCCCAATATACGTATACGTGTATGTGTCTGCGTGTGTGTGTATATATATATATTCCCATTCTTCGATATATACCTAGCTCAGAGCTCTGCAGGAAGTTGATAATAAACAGAGAGGGAGAGAGAGAGGTGAAGAGGAAAATTAAAGAGAGAATAAGTATCAGAGAGTAGGGATTATATCTGCTTATATATATATATATATATAGGGCAAAAAGAGAGAAAGGGATCAGAAAAGCAAAGAGAAAAAAGCGGAAGAGAGAATAATTAAAGGCAATATGGTTTCTAGGGAGCACAAGAGAGCAGTACTGAATGAAAAGTTGCAGACTCTTCGTTCTATTACTAATTCTCATGCTGTAATTTACTATCTACTCAGATCTTCCTCTTTTCCTATATATGTATGCACATGGATTCATATACCCACATACTGCTATATATGGATGTTATTTTATATGTATATATATACACAGTTCTCGATCTGTTTTGGTATGTGTGTATATATAAAGATCATACATGATCAGTTAATGAATTTTCACCGTGAGGCAATGACATAAATGTATCTGTATACATATATAGAGGAAGAGAAGAATTAACGGGTGCTAATTTTCTTTTGTGTTTAATTCTCTGTATATACATGTGTATGTGTGGCAGGTCAATAAGACATCCATCATAGTTGATGCATCAAAGTACATCAAAGAGCTGAAGCAGAAAGTAGAAAGATTGAATCAAGATATAGCAGCCACCTGCACACAAACATCAACAGACCAAAATCCACTGCCTGGGATACATGTACTATTATAATTAGTACATTATATATATTTATGATATATGTTTATATAGTCCAGATCATCAAATTTCTCTATCAATTAATATCTTTCCTAATTGCGTGTTTTCAACAACAGGTTACAGTAGAAACTTTAGAAAAGGGTTTCCTAATAAATGTTTGCTGTGGAAGGAGTTGTCCTGGCCTCCTTGTCTCCATTTTAGAAGCTTTTGAAGATCTGGGTCTTAATGTGCTTGAAGCTAGGGTTTCTTGTACTGAGAGTTTCCGATTACAAGCAGTCGGTGGAGAAGATGTAAGAAATTAAATCTTGGTTCCTCCTCATATATAGCTTACAATGGGCATATACATATATATATATGATATGATAGAATATATACTACATAAAATGTGTAGTATATATTTGGAATTTAATTTGAACCCATTAAATTTTACTCTCATAATGTTGATACAAGTATATTTTATATACCTACATAGTATAAAACTAAATGTTTTATGTTATTGCAGGGTGAAGATGAAGCTAGTGAAAGCATTGATGCTCAAGTTGTAAAACAAGTAGTACTGCAAGCCATTAAAAACTGGGGCGGACCTGCTCATCAAGGTTAATCAGATATCTTAACATCGATTGAAGAAAAATTTTAACTTCGAGCAAAGTTCGGAGATGTCTTTAATTATATATATTTATATATATGTGTTATATTTTTAAATTTTTATTTCGTGCATCAAGGTTAATTATTCGATATCGTTCTAGTTTTACTTTGTAGGTTAATTAAATTGGTAATAGTTTGATCAATGAGTTTCTGATATACTCTGTCATGTGGTGTTTGGTTTTGTTTCTCCTGAACTTAATTATTCATTAAGTGTTTTTAATTTTTAATTTGATATAATTAAAACAAGATGATAATTAAAATTAAAAATTGATTAGCCAAAGCCTTTTTTTTTTTTTTTAAACAAAATGTCGAGTTTGTATTTAGATTTCATTATATAGTTGATGAGATTAATCAACTAATTTCGTATTTCTACATTAAAACATCAAACACAAATCCTGATAGTCAAGTACTGTGATAAGTTTGATACGTACAAGACAAAACTAACTTTACATTAGGACTGTATATATATATATAGGAACTAGTTAAAATAATGTATAATAATTCATAGCTCTAAACTTTAGGGAGCAACTCCAAGAAATGTGGATTCAAGGATATACTTAAACGTTATATATTTATATATGTATAGTACGTATATGTAATTAAAAATTTATCTAGGGTGGTAATTTATTAGTGTCATAGCTTGGCATGTTACAGTAAATCTAGGACATTTTCAGTCGGGACAAAATCTGTCATCAAGAACTATAGCACCAAATACCATAAGATTTGATAACCGGAATATATATGTATATGTATATGTATATGTATATGTATATGTATATGTATGTATTCAGAACTTATCTATTAAATTAATGTGGGTATCACACTAAAAGAATTAATCTGCGTACTAAATTAATGATGATCAAACAATGTTACTACTATTATAATCAGTTGAATTATTACTACTATTATAATTACTATTAAATTTTTATACCATGATTCTTGGTCTTGGCTCATGACTAATAATTTCAGACCCTTTTGAATTTCTATTAATTCGGCCCAGGCCCATGTAACAGAAAAAATATTAATTAATGTAATGTCATTGAAATTATATAAATAAAAAAAGAAAAATAGAGATTATAATAAATATTATATGCATATTTACAGGTTTAATGTGTGTGTAACAGAAAAAATATTAATTAAAATTTGTAATAATTAATATCAAACGCCACTGTTGGATACTCTTGATCTGTTCTTGGAATCAATCAAAAAAGCCCTGGTAATCTGCACGCACAAATGGGGATTCTTGGGAGCAAAAGCTTCATATTTAGCGGAGAAAACGACGTCGTCTACGTTCCGGACAATGAAGTTCAAGGCAGTTTCCTTGAGTGTCTTGTTGGAACAGAGATCTGATATCTCCAGGATGTCGAGAGCATTGGAGGAAGACAAGGAAGCCAACATGTGTCTCTCGCAGAACTCCTGCAAGTAAGGAATCTCGTACTTGTCGGCGGCCACGAACAGTGGGTAGACATGTTTTTGTGCTTTGTCGGCAGGCAATGTGCCACTGTAGAGAAATTCTAGCAGAGACTCCAGCTCTTCTTGGTTTAGTTCTGGCAGGGCTATGGTGTCGCTTGCTGCTGCTTTGCACTCATCTGACTCTAGTATGTTTTTGAATATCTCTGATTTTGCTGCCTGCCATATAAACATATAAATATATATATATGTATGTATGTATATGTTGAGAAACAGATAAAAAGATATACATATTATAGAGAAGAAAGAAGAAATTCACTATCACAAACCAAAGAAGTCAACCTACAAAGGAATGAATTCATTTAATGTAAATTGACTGTGTTATATAGATATACAATTAATGTAAACAAAAGTTCTTCCCTACTACTAACTTATCTACTAATCAAACCATGTTTTCTCTTTGTTACTAACGTTTTCACTAATCAAAGTATGTTCTTTGTCATGAACTTTTTCACCATGTCATATTCTCTTATTCTCTGTCACTAATTATTTCATTAATAAAATCATATTTCTTTATTATCAGTCATTAACTTTTCTATTAACGAATCATCATAAATCTCTAAAGAATAAAAAAAACTAAAACCGAATGATTAAAATTAGATAAAAAAAGGAAGAACTTGGTAGACAATAAATTGGATAAAATACTTGATGTTGTAACTCAGACAGTACATGTATATGGAGGGAGGAAAAAAGGAGAGAGAGAGAGAGAGAGAGAGAGAGAGAGAGAGAGAGAGGAGAGAAGTTAATACGTTACCAATAGGGCTCTATGGGCGGGTATAGGAGGTCCATTGTTGCCAGGTCTGAGAAAGATATCAGTGTGGAGTTGTTCTCTGAAAGCCATAACAAAGCCACTCAAGAAACTTATCTTCTTGTTCAATTCTTCTTCTGTTTCCTTCATGTGATTCATCCATTTTGTCACATTTGCAAGAGGCTGAGGTTGAGGGTACATACACAACGTTATTTCTAAATTGAGAAAATTAAATTTATTATGTATCTGATTCTTGAGACTGTTTAAAAATAGTGTAAACCCAAAAAAAAAAAAAAGAAGAGTATTGGAGCTTGCCTTACAGGGACTTGGTGGAGAATTAAGGGGAGGATTTGTAGTGGGTTTATCAGATTCGAGCTTATTAACGAAGGTGATTAAAGCCCTAGCTCCTTCATAGCACGCTCCACATATTGTATTCCTTGGTGGCCTTAATATGAACGGCATTGAACTGCAAATGGAGCAATCCATCTTTCCCTGTATTACTTTCTTCAACTCTTAATTGCAGGAAGGAGGAGGAAGAAGAAGAAGGAAACAGGAATATTTAAAGGGTTGTTTGTCTTTCATAGTTGTTACTCTACGGAGGTTTTTTTAAACATTATTCTGAAGCATTTCATGATTAGTTTGATACATGAATGCATGATTGCATTTCCTCACATTCTGCATATTTTATTCTTCCTATGAAATTACTCAACTAACCTTTGAATTTCGAAGTTTATATACACATACATATATGTAGATATAATGGTAGAAATTGGAAGAATTTGTTGTTTTAGGGGTGTAATGGTAAATGAAAGGGAAATGAGGAAGTGGGTTGGGCATGTCTTTTGAGTGAGAGATAAATTAAGTATTGTAGAGAAGAATTGAGAAAGTTAGGAAGAAGAAAAAGACTTTCCAACCTCTCAACAGCAAATATGTGCAAGCCAAACATGTCTTTATCAACAACTTTTCTTATGACTATATACCTTTTAATTAAACTTAATTTATTATTATAAAACATGCCCTTAATTTACTTAGATAATAATAATTAGCTTTTCTTTTAAAGCCAGAGGGGCCAGCTTTGCTGGTTATGGGTAGCTAATTATGATTTGGTTGAAGATTATAATATATCATCCTACATCCCTTACATATATATATATATATATAAATATGCATGTATTGTATATGATGTTCATGGATTCCATAGTTATAGTTGATTATGTAGGGGTCCATGACAGTTGACTCCTGCTAAACAAATGGTTGTTTGGGAAGATTGTAGTCATTATTACCAATTATAAACAAATAACAATTTCCCATGGGCTTATAGTATACCCCATATGTACTTGGGTATATGAGTGAACCAGCTTGAGAGATGGATTGGTTACTCAAGGAATATGGGTTAGGTCCCCATGACAATGTTGAACTAGAGTTATTGGATTGAGGCCTGTTCCAGATGGTTCAACCAATTCAATTTGACCCATTTCAATTTTTTTAAGAAAAAGTGAAGTTCAATTTTTTTACCCCACTACCTCAGTTAAGAAAATCAATCTACCCATCATGAAAACTTTTTTTTTCCAGCAGGAAATTACCATTAAAGGAAGATGGGTGAAGTAAGGAGAAAAAATTAATACATGTTTGGAAAGGCCATTTTAATCATCATCATCATCATCATCATCCCCACTAGTGCATTTGTAATACAAAACAGGGGCAAATAGTAGATTAGGGATTTTTGCTACAATAATTTTATTAAGATGAAGAAGATTAATTGTGATGTTGTTGCTGTTTGTTGGTTCTCTTCTCATAGTAATGGTAGGCTGCTGCCCCAGATAGCACTGCCAATGTAAGAGCCTGCGCATGCATCCTACCCACCAAAAACAAAACTCTCATTAGTTTAGTCTTGAGCTATAGATTTGATTAGGATATTAGTAACTAGTTAATTGATGGAAAAAAATGATATTATAAATATATACCTGGCATGTATAAGCCTGAGACTTGGGTTAAGAGAAGTTTTAGCCTTGGAATAAGCTAATGATCCTCCAATTGCTGATGCCCAGATCCCCCCTGCAAAAACCACCCATTTCATTTGTCACAGACCCAATGAAAACCAACTCCAAATTAAACTTTCTAAGCATTATACAATCAAAAACTAATGCAGATATCAGAAATTATGAATTACTAAAGAGTTACCAATGGTGGTAAGCTTGTGGTTTGAGACCCATGTCTGGATTGCCTCCATTCTCTTTGATTTTGTAGTTAATCTAAGCTAGGATTGATATGATGAAAGTGGGAAGCCAGACAAGGTTGGTATTTATATAGAATTTCAGTAAAAGGTGTTGGTATTTGTGGCCGCCCCTGGGTTTAGTCTCTGCTCTCACACTTTTTCTTTTTGGGTTTTGAAACAAGAGGCTATTGGTGTCTGGATTATCCGGTTTTGGTGCCCTCACTCCACCTGTTTCACCCTTTATGCATGTGAGAGATGCTGTGTGCTACTCAAGTGGAAATCTAGGAGCCCAACACAGGCTGCAAAAAGAATTTTTTTACTCCACAAAATAATCAATCAATCACAATGAAGATGACATTTTACATTGTACGTAAACGGCGCCGTTCTGCAACAGATTTCCTCTTCTCCCTCAAAACCCATAATTAATAATTTACCGGCCCATTTCCACTCTCTAAGTGTTAATTTCTGGCCCGCAACACTGGACATTTGAACTTACTGAAGACATAAACGTCGTCGTTCTGGAACAGATATCATCTTCTCCCTCAAAACCCCTAATTAATAATTTCCCGGCCCATTTTTACCAGCTAAAAGTGTTAATTTCTGGTCCACTTGACCTTACTCAAGACTTTAAACGGCGTCGTTATACAACAAATGTCTTCTCCCCCCTCAAAACCCAGAATTGATAATTTCCCGCCAATGGAGTGCAGCAAACTAGAGCTTCTCGCCCATTCTGCAAGAGGTAAACGGAACTGCTTAACAGGGGGAATGTGAAGATCATCTGAAATTAGCAATGGAAGCTGCTCAATTAACAAGCAAAAAACGAAAGCCACTTGCTGATTGCACCAATACACTCGCCAAATCTTCTCGCTCCTCTGCTTCCTCTTCAACTTCTGTAATCAAACCTACTAATCCCCTTCTCTCTTCAGCTTTCAATAAGCTACTTAATGATACAAAACCGAAGTCCAAAGACAAACCAGATTCGGACACTAGGACCCGATCCACCACACCAGCCGCCCACTGCCAAACGGGATCCATCGAGGCCGCAAACCCTACTTCTACTGCTCGCTCTTCCGCTCTTCATTCTTCTCTTCCCTCCACTCCCTCCCGCCTGCGGAATTCGTCTTCCTTTTCTGGTAATTCCGGATCCGTAGTCTTAATTTTGGTGATTTCGATTTCCGGGAAAATGGGTTTTTCCGGGCCTTTCAGATTTGGGGGCTATTTTTATTGTTTCTAAAATTTCAAAACTAGAAATATACCAAGGACGCAATAATCGTTTCAATTCAGATTGGGTTTGAGGAATATTGAATTGGTTAAATTTTATTGATGTTACTTCTGAATTTGTTATGGAGTTTATTCTCTTAAATTTTTGCACTAAAAAGTTCATATAATGCCTAAATTCTGTCTCTGTATTATGAGCCGACTTCAATGTTTAGGTACTGAAAACCGTGCGTCTATTGAGCCTGGTTCGGTTTACACTAGAAGAAGAAATGCTGGTAAAGGAAAGAGTAAAGAGAACGCAATAGTTGAGCCTATGACATGCCCTCCTATGCCAAAGCGCTCAATATTTGAGTAAGTCTATTTCTTCATCACATTGCATTTCACTGAACTATTCAGTCATTGAAGCGTTCTGGGTCTTGAACAACTTGAGAAGGGAAAATTTGAGATAGAAGGATCTGTGATTTTTGGGAAAAAGAGGTTGCGATAATCATAGTTGTAGAAATGATGGATGACTTACTGATAGTGAATGATGCATGTAGAGCAAGAGGCTATAGAACTGTAACTATGAAATGGATCTGGCATCTTGGACTACAGATCAGGTGCATGAGTTGTAGGTTCGAATTTTGGAGTTATACTATATTCTAAAAGTTCAATGGTATAAAAATGTTGGTCTTGTCCTACTTTGTGAACCAGGTATAAGTGGAAGAAATTGTTTATAAACGTTCAAGTTGCAAATCTTCTTCATTAATGGAAGGGTCAAATTGGAGCTATTCTATGTACTAAAAAGTGAAGTGTTGTAAAGGCGTTGATTTTGTGCTACTTTCGTGTATGCTCTATCTGGGAATAAGATCTGAATGGAAGAGACTGGTTGAAAAGGTTACAGTAGCAAATTTCTTGGATGAGCCATTTTATTCATTTTCATTTCTTTTTGTCATAGTTGATCTGTATATGAGATGCTAGAGGTACTAATGTTCCTGGTAGGTATATGTTAGATACCTTTATGGTCCTTTTGTCTAAGACAAGGTCTGTAAGTCTCATGGCTGGAATAGCTTGGTTTTTTATTTTGAGCCCAGTTTTTTTTAGCTACTCTAGATGCAAATGATGGATAAGAAGAATTCTCTTCTTAGTCACTTTGTTCACTCCCTTGTTCCAGAGTTATTCTAATGAAAAATTATGTGATCTTTATCACCCACGTATTTATGGCCTGCCATCTTATCCTATGATATTTATACTTCCTATTTCTTTGGTATAGGAACAGAAGAGATGAAGAGAGGATTACCAACCCATCTAAGTTGTGCAAAGTGCCTCATAAAAGGGTGAGTTTGGAAAAATTATGTGATGATATTGGATCATGGAAATTGGAAGAAAGAAGTTGGATTAGAAAGGTTATATAATATATTTTCTTGTTGTTTTGAAAGAGATGCTGTAATGCATTGCCCATTCAATATTAGGAATGTATTTCCTCTTGAAGCGATAATCATTTAGTTCCAGCTTGAAAAGATTGTGTCACATTGAGGTAACTTCAAACTAAAGAAATAAATTTATTGTAGAGAACATTCTTAGCTGGTGTGACTGATTGCGTTACTATATGTGAATAAAACATCTGCTTTCTCTGCCATTTACTTCCCGGTTACTATTTCCTTTTTATCATGTTATGTGACTCTCTCCCCAGGCTTCAGTCATTTCTAGCATACAACCCTTTTTAAACATCCAGCTGAACTTCAAACATGCCAATCATTTGATTGCAGCAGTGCCGGCAGACATCCAAGCAAGATTTACCTGTACATGCAATGTCCCAGGATTTTATCAAACAGCAGAGAGCTTATTTTGCGGAGGTTGATGCATTTGAACTGTCAGAGGAGGAGGTTACATCTGCTGATGAGTTGGAATGAGGAAAGAAATAATTGTCATTTTATCTATGTAGCAAGTAAAGCATCCTGATCCTTTGATACTCCCTGTATAGTATAAGAACTACCTGACATGTTTTTGTTGTAATAACAACCTAATCTGTAAAATCTCTTAGTACTAGGCTAGTGTACACGCAGAAGTTACTTTTTTGAGCAGCTTGTCTTTTTTCACAGATGAAGATCATTTTCTGCTCTGAGTAGTGGATTAAATTTTCTATCATTGATGTCATGGTGTTAAGTTGGAAATTTGCAAATAAGCTTTGTTACCTTATGTGTACTTTTGGTTCATAGATATATTTTCCATGAAAATAAGATTGATATATGACGGCGTTTGTGTGTACAAGAGATTGATGAAAAAAGTCTTTTAACAAGGTTGACATATCAGTATTCTCATATTGTTTATATTGGTCCTATGTGAACTGAATTATATTACCCAATTGGCTATAAGTTATGAGTCATGGAAACGTGTCTGAGCCCAGGGTGAATGGATAGACGTACCAAAGAGGAAGCTGGAGCTGTCAGTGGCCCAAGTCGGAAAGCTTGTGTTCCCCTTCAAACCTTGGCTATAATGGCAGCAATCGACCCATTATTTATTTATAATGGTATGTGTTTCTAAGACAGGATATGCTTTAATATGTTATTTATATACTTAATGTCTTCTGGCATGCACCAGATCACTGAGAGGACTGATAAGCAAAATGCATCATTCTCTTTACTTAAATTTATTAGTAGAAATAAGACTAATATCTGATTCTTAATTCTGCACCTGTAACTTTGAATTATGTAGAATAATGACTAAGTCTGTTATTTGTAGCTGATCAGTTATGAACATATTATACTGAAAAAGAATTATTACTACAGAAGCAGAAATAAGTTAGAAGACTTCTAACTATGATTGGTACATTTTAAACTTCTTTATTTAATAATTTTTAGATTATAATTTTAAAATTACTCAATGATATTTATAAGATTTATCAATTTAATTGTGTTTGAAGCACCTAAAAGTTACTCAGGGATAGTAATCAACACAATGCTATTTCTATATCCTTCACCAGGGTTTACTTATACTGTAATGTATTTTGGAAGGCCAGAAGTTTAGAGGGTTGATATTGATTTAATGAGAAAACTTGTGGCTAACAAGGTTTGAGTTTGATTACTCTTATCATATATGTTTATTTAATAACGCAGAGAGAGAAGGCCTGCTGCAAACATATAAAATGCTTAAAGATTAATATTTAGCTATAGAAATTTTAAGGACCACGATTTGCTGGTTGATTGTCGACGAGCGGTCGAGCTGGCCTAGACATAGACGATTCATTGTTGGCTTAAATGTTGGATGCTGATCTTTTTCGAATCTTGAGAATAAGGAACAAAAAAAAAAAAAAAGATTCTACTATATACGTATATGTATTTACATATATAAGACCTTGATCATTGATGTCCTTTCTTGTATTAACTAGCTAGCTTACCTATATCTTGTATATTATTGGTGGTCTCCATCTACAATATCATATGTCACGTGTATGCATATGCAATAAATTATATACTGAACCTAGCCAGCATTGAAGGAAATGTGATAAGATATTTTTACCATTTTTAGATATTGTTCATCTAGCTAATAGCCCTGAAGAGATATATCACATAAAGGAGGGCGTCATTATTGTCCTTTTGTCATGCTTTTATGTTCAAACAATCACATATGCATTCTGATCAGCATCTTCATGAAATTGAAATGCCACCACTCGTTTTTTCTTGAGCTTTCACAGTTGCTGCAGGATAAGATTCAGCAGCTAGTACCAACTCTGCTCTTGTCCGTCCGTCACTCTGCTTTCTGTTTATTAATCGTTTCTACGATCATAACATAAACGAGTAAAATCATAAAAACAAAAGATTATGCATAAAATACATTTGCATGGATAAACTTTTACTTAGTTTTATACTCGGGATAACTTTTTAAAGTGCCTACTTCATCTTAGTATATTCAAAATTTAATCTCGGTATGCTGTTGTTAAGGAAAGTAGTAGGAACAGAATAGAATTTAAGTTAAATTAACAAATTTAGTTGTTTGCATGGGAGTGAGGGCAAAATTAAGAGGAGCAGAAGGCATTAATATGGTGAGCAGTAGTGTAGAGGAGACAGAAAACTGTGGTGTATGTTGGGATCTGCCGTCTCTACAAAGAAAGAGACCATGAAAGCAACTAGGGTTTCTTGATTTGCCAATTCAATATGAATCAAACCCTTTTTTGTAGATCAACGTCCCCACCAACTTCTTTTTCTTTCTCCAATATATTCTCCATCTCTCCTTGACAATTGTGGGTTTCTTTCGTTCTCAAGTTTAAAAAATGAATTATTTACAATGCCCAATAATGTGGGTTGGGGAATTCATTACAGTCTAAAACTTTCAGATCAGGAGAAGGACAAAAAATAATTGCAAGTTGAGGTCGGTCCAAACAATAATCATATGAGATACCAAGTGGGTTATCACTGCTATAATAAATAGGAAGAGAAACATATGGTATATTCCTGTAGATTCAATATTGCATGGTTCATAATGCAGTCAAAATGTCAATCAACTTTAAATATCTTTTTATTTCAAAAAAAGAGAGAGAGAGAGAGAGATTTTTCTGTCCATTGATTTTGTTGCGTACCCCAGTTTGATCAAGTACTGAAAATTTGGCAGTAAAACCACTGCTGTTCTTTTCATGGTTGAGGACAAATATTTGAAGATGGCAATTAATTAGATATGTATAGTTAGATGGTTTTGCTTCATGCAGTGTAGGTATATATGATAGGAAAGCTAATTCTGTACTTGACGACTTCTTATTTTTGTATCTCATTACTTGTAGTGTTTATCCTAATTTTCTATGTAAAATGTAAATTTGGGTTAGAGTTGCAAAGGTATGCAGCATGCATTTCTCGAATATCACATTATTCGAATTACATAACTATTTTTTTCCGTGATGTACTAGAGTTCGGATTAACTAATTAGAAACTCGAGAATGACTTAATTGAAGATATCTCACAAAGTGAAAAAATGGAGAATCTTCTTGTATATACAAATAAATAGCCAAGAGATTTTTTTTTTTATTTTGCTTTATAAGCCAACTTGGTAGTTAATTAAAACCAATGTCCATGCAAACAAGTCTGCTAATAGAATTGCACATAAGCATATACATATAGTATGTATACATCATATGAATGATATGTGTGTGTGTGTATGGGTGAGAAGTAGTTGCTGTCCAAGTTGGTCCTTAATCCTTTAGCAAGTTGCAGAAGAATGGTGACATACAGAATTAATTATGCAAAGCTTCGCTAAGCACTTGATTGATTTCTCCAGTTTGTCTTAATTAATTATGCAAAGTGAATTTACACACACACATGTATGTATGTATATATTATATGAGGACAAGTTCATATAATCAAACCCATCTTCTTTAAATGATTACTTTCTAATTAATTCTTTTTTCCCCCCCCACCCCCACCAAAACAAATTAATTTTCTTTACCTAGTGCTTGTACCATTTTACCATTTTAATGCTACAAAATTGTTTACATCACTTGCACATATTTATATATATATATATATATATGTCCGTGCATGATATAAAAATAAACTTGTTCCCCAAGTTGTTGAATGTTATAAAATAGAAGATAATGCCGAGTACAGTTTTGAAGAGACTATACATACATATAATAATTTTTATTTGCACCAAAATATGTGGTACGAGGTCAAGGATTGGATGAGTATAAATGAATGGAATGGCTACGATCATAATTTTTTTTCAGAATATTTTCTTCAAGTTGCAAAGATTTGATTGTACCAGGATCTATCCATCTCCCTCACAAGCTTTCAAATGCGTGATTTATGAACATATATGTTATTAATTATTATTATTGGTCACTGTTTTGGATAAGTTTGAAGCATAGTGTATATATATATATGTGTGTGTGTGTGCGTAAATATCTACTAATTAATAACATTTTTTATATATAAATTTCATATGAAAAAGAAACTGAGATACATATCTTTTAGAAAGTTCTAATAATAATAATAATAATAATAATCGAAACTAAATCTTAAAAACAGTAGGTTTTTTTAAGAAATCTTTTTTTTTTTTTTTTTCAAAAATGTTTTATGTATATATATATATATATATTCATTCATTAATTAAATAATATACAAATTATTTAATTAATTCAAACAATCCCTTTGATCTCTATTTGGAAAATCAACTAAAGTTTAACGTTAATTAGTGATGAAACCAACCCATTAAATTAAGTAATTAATTAATCAAAACTGATGAAATAATAAATGCCCAATTGCTTTTATCCTTTATTTTATTTATTTTGGTCGAATTGTAATGTACAATATTATACATATATATATATATATGTATATAATATATATAAGCTTGGTATCCAAGTTGGAATCCATTAATATTTATAAAATTGAAAAAAGGAGGTTTAATGAGTAGCAATTCAATTCAATCAATTCCACATGTGTCCAAAGAAAAGGAGACTGTATTGAAGTCAATTCCTAGATGAAATATACTGGACAAGCTCCGGCTGAGTCTTATATATATCAATAATTATATATATATATATATATCTTCACTATAATCAAACAAGATGATATTTTGTCTTTTCACATATTTTTATATATTTTACCTTTTAAAATAATTATTTAACTTTTTGGGTTTTTACAATTCCTTATTTTCCCAACTGGGTCAACTTAATTTGTTTTATTTGCATATTTTTTTCAACCCAAATAAAAAAAAAAAAAGCTATATATTATGCATACGTATAGTTTTTTGGGTGGGTGGCAAAAGGGTAGTGATAAGGGCATATCGGTCAGAAAGTGCCGTCGGTGGTGGCAGGTGGGCTACGGGCAGCTGACCACGGCGGCCTACATACTGCCGGAGGAAGTGCGTGCCACCGAACCATGATATTATATTATTTAAAAAATAAAAATAAATACATAAAACAAATTGTGGTAATTAAGAAATAAAAATTGTTTAATATTTTTCCGGGAGGAAAAAGACAGCACTGATTTAAATTGAAAAAGAATTATTTTGATTTTGCACTTTTTGTCTTAAATGAGTTTTGGTGTTTTATGGTATCTTCAACCCTTCATTTGAAATCGACCCACGAACATGATCACCAAAACTATAAAATCTTACAAAATTTTAATTCTAAGTGTAAGTAATAGCATTAGATATAAATAATAATAATAAATTATAATTTTTATTAGTTAAATATTTCTAATTCAGATAAAATATAAATTTTATTTAGTAAATTAAAATTTATATATTAATTAAAAAAATAAAATTCAATTAAGAAATGGTAAAATTTTTAATAGAAAATAAAAGAATTCTAAAATCTTATAGCTATATATTTTAAATAATAATAAATGGAAGTAAAATAATAAAAAACAAGAGTGGGAAAGATTTGCAAGTAGACTTGTTCGTAGAGCGGGTCGGGTCTCATTTTGATATAACGGACTGTTATTTACTGGCTTGACCCGACCCTATTACTTAATGGTTCACTTCCTTTATAAGAGGAGTCTGTCTACTTGCCACTCCCAAGTCAGACTCCTATTGACTCCCATACCAACTCAACCAAACCCTCATCTCTCTCTCTCTTTCTCTCTTCTATATGCATATTTATATATATGTAAGTATTATGTTGTGTCAATGAAGTATGGTGAGGTAAAGCTTTGCCCTGATGAAGCTAAAGCTTACCACCTCTACAAGTCTCTCTTAAGATTATTACACAACTAAATTATACGTACGTATAATATATTGTATTTATATATGTGCAACCAGTTTTTGATCTTTCAACTTCTTAACTAATCTTCCATTTCAAAATACTCATTCGTATATATATATATATATATATATATATATATATGGAAGAAAAAGGATACACCCAAGATGGCACCGTGGATATCCGAGGCCGCCCTGTTCTTGCTTCTAAAACTGGCAGATGGAAAGCCTGTGCTTTCCTTGTTGGTAATCTCTTTTCCCTTCTCAGCTTCTCTTCTTTTTTCTTTTCCAATATTTTATATATTTTACACTCTGAATTTGATCATATATATATATATATATATATAATTAAAGGGTATGAAGCATTTGAGAGGATGGCCTTCTATGGCATAGCATCAAACCTTGTGAATTACTTGACCACCCAACTCCATGAAGACACTGTCTCATCAGTCAGAAATGTTACCAACTGGTCTGGTTCAGTGTGGATCACTCCTATTCTTGGCGCCTACATAGCCGATTCTTACTTGGGTCGCTTCTGGACTTTCACTATCTCTTCTCTCATATATGTCCTGGTATATTATCTCATCATTAGATACGCATATATAGAATTGTATAATTAAGAGCTTAGTTGGGTATTTTTGTTGATCATGATGATCATCACTATGATTAAATTAATCTTCTTTAATGTTGCAAGTCCACCGTGCACACCATCTGTTTGGTTAATTTTCCAGAATACCCACTTGCAAAAAGGCCCGTTAGATTCTTCTTTAATTTTTGCCTAGGAACCACTTTTGTTATATTGCCTATCTACGTGGACTGTAATCACTATATAATTATTTATTAATTTTAATTAGCTGCAAAATTTTCCTCTCCACAAGCTTATAGCTTGTGACTTTCTTGTCATCAGGTCCACTTATGAGTACATGGATAAAACTGTACTCCTGTGGCACTCGCTCAATTTTCTGGGAAAATGAAATTTAATAGATTGGACAAGACTTTTGTTTTTGGACTCATCCATGAATACAAAAACAATATTGATTTATTATTATTAAATACATTTTTGTATGTACTCCTTAGTATTTGGAGAATTTGTGTCAGCATGATCATGAAACTGATTGTTTATATCATTGAACTGTTCTTACTTTATTCATTTGTGACATTGAACATGTAAATTAACATATGATTTGGATAATTCTTTTAGATGGGAGAGGGTTATGATTCAACTTGAGTCATCAAATCCATTTGAGTTACATTTTGTTAGCCAATATAATTTGTTTTGTAGTAATTAGTGATATTGCTGCAAACTAATTACAGGGTATGGTGTTGTTAACAATGGCGGTTTCGTTGAAATCTTTGAAGCCAACTTGTATGAATGGAGTCTGCAACAAGGCCAGTAAGCTGCAGATTTCATTCTTCTACACATCTCTATACATCATAGCAATAGGAGCAGGAGGCACAAAGCCTAACATCTCAACTTTTGGGGCAGACCAGTTTGATGATTTTAACCCAAGTGATAAAAAACTAAAGGTTTCATTCTTCAATTGGTGGATGTTCAGCTCTTTCCTGGGTGCATTGGTTGCCACAATAGGGCTTGTCTATATTCAAGAGAACTTGGGTTGGGGTTTAGGGTATGGTATCCCTACAGTAGGGCTGTTGTTATCTTTGTTTTTGTTCTATATTGGGACACCAATGTACAGGCACAAAGCTAGGAGCACCAAAAGTCCAGCAAGAGACCTTGTTCAAGTCCTTATCACTGCTTTCAGAAACCGGAAGCTCAGCCTCCCTGGCAACCCATCAGAGCTTCATGAGTTTGAGATCCAACAATACATTAGTACAGGAAAACGGCAAGTCCAACACACTCCAATGTTCCGGTGAGTAGCTTTCTGAGTCCAATATGTATAATAATGTAATTGAGGAAGTTGGAGTGAGAAAGAGGAGTAGCAATTTGAAATTACACTAATAGGCACAGAATCTAAACAATTTGATTCCTTGTGAGATAATTTGTGGAGTAGAATCTGAGGACATGGACCATAAAAGTTGAGTGCAGGGGGATTCAAAATTTTTCTAACTGGGTCTGGTGGCAGGGCAAGGATCCCAATGGATTGATGACCATAAAAATTTCTAAAGCATTTTCTTAGACCACATGTGCTATTGCTAAAGTGGAATGGTCCTATTTTTCAGGTTCTTGGACAAGGCTGCAATAAAGGAGAATAACAGAGTGTCAGAGAATAGTGGGTCAAACCCAGCCTGCACAGTGACTCAGGTGGAAGGCACTAAACTTGTTTTTGGAATGATGTTGATATGGGTAGTGACCCTGATCCCTAGCAGCATCTGGGCACAAATCAACACACTGTTTGTCAAACAAGGCACTACAATGGACAGGAGAATAGGCCCAGATTTCCAAGTCCCAGCAGCTTCTCTAGGTAGCTTTGTCACTCTCTCCATGCTCCTCTTTGTTCCCATGTATGACAGGTAATGAATCAATCCTCTCCCATTTATCTACAAATCTAATCTAATACTCTTTATCTAATCTAATCTAATTATGATTTGTCCTGTTAGGTTTTTTGTGCCCTTGATGCGCAAGAAAACAGGCAACCCAAGAGGGATAAGTCTCCTACAAAGACTTGCCATAGGGTATATGATCCAAGTCGCAGCTGTGGGCATTGCTTATTGTGTGGAAGTGAGGAGAATGCATGTGATTAAGGTACACCATGCCATGAACCCCAAGGACATTGTCCCCATGAACATTTTCTGGTTACTCCCTCAGTATGTTCTACTTGGGATAGCAGATGTTTTCAATGCAAGCGGTCTGCTTGAATTTTTCTATGATCAGTCACCACAAGACATGCAAAGCCTAGGTACAACTTTCTTCACAAGCGGTATCGGCATCGGAAACTTCTTGAACAGCTTTTTGGTTACAATGGTTGATAAAATTACAGGTATGGGTGGAAGAAAGAGTTGGATTGGAGATAATCTGAATGATTGTCATTTGGATTATTTCTATGCATTTCTTCTTCTCATATCTACACTGAATTTAGGAGGTTTCTTCTGGGCATCATCTAAATATATCTACAAGACTGAATTGGATCATAGTGAAGCTTTTACTCAAATGGATCTCAAACCCTTGGACACTACTACTCTTGGGTTACAAGTATGACACAGTAATGATCATTAACCTCTTGTAATTAGTAGTAATATGTATGTCTCTCAGCTTTTTTCCCCCTTGATTAATTCCCTGCCTGTTACACCCTGAAGGGTGTAATTAATTTCCCAACTAGTTATCACTTTCTCCATGTAGAGATCATGAATAAAATTACTTAATTTGCAGGACTTTTGTTTTTTTTCACTAATATGTATGTATACATATAAAAATATATTACTTATCACTAATATGTATATATTAATTTTTATTAGCAAACTATTATATGTTACAGAAATATAATACAATAATGATATCTGAAAAGTAAAACATATGGTTATAATCTTAAATTAATAATAATAATAATAATTTGAGGAATAAGTTAGTCCAAGAAATTAGGGGGAGACTGAGTTGTGCAGTTTATGGGCCCTAAAAGCCCACTAAGACTAAAATCTCTTTTTTATTTATTTATAAAGAATATGTACAATTAAATTATATATACAAATTATTTTTAAATAAGGATATACAGGGAACACAATTATCGATTCGAACTCATAATATTTTACAAAACAAATAACATATCAACCATTAAATTAAACAGTAATATATATATATATATATATATTCATAAATTGAACGATGTATAAATTATATTACGAAATAACTCGAATCTACAAACTCTTGTAAATGAAGGGACTTATCAATTAAACTTTAATTTTTTTAATAAAAAATGAATGTGTACTTTCATAATTAAGTTGTATAGACAAATTATTTTCAACCAAAGATATAATATATATATATACACACACAATCTAATTCGAACCCACAATCTTTTATAAAGAAATAAATATATTATTTATTAAATTAAACAATAATATCCATTTATAAATTAAATTACCCATAAACTGTGTCATTAATTAACTCAAGCTCGCGATTTCTTGTAGAGAAAAAAATATATTAATTAAACTCCGGTATTTTTTTAATAAAAAATATATATATTCATAAATTAATTTTAAACAAAGACACGTATAAAAATACAGTATGATTCGAATTTATAATATTTTGTTAAAAAATAAAAAAGTATGAATTATTCAATTAAATAGTAGTTGACATTATAATTTTTATAAGTTTAGTATTAGGTTTATTTATAAAGTAGGAGAATTTATCTTAAAGAAAGTCTAAAGGAGGAAACTTTAAGTATCTAGTACCACATGTATGTATGTATGTGTGTGTGTGTGTATGTATATATATATATATATATATATATATAGTTTTAGTATTTTGTTTGTTTTGGGTTTTGACGATTTAATATCTATTACAATTTTCAATTGACAAGATTATTGTACAAAGAAAAATAGATTTAGTTGTTGTGAGTATATCTTCTACAATGCAATTTAAAGTCAATTAAATACACACAAGTCACAATTTGTATATATCATCATCCTCCAACAAAACTCACTTTGATCAACCCTGAAAACTACCTCTTCAACAAGAAGGAGAATTGGTCTTTGTTCTGTGTGTGTACTGACATAATGTATATAAATATATATATATATGTATATGTATATATGTCAAACATATTTGTCAACAGTAACTATAAAATTAACCTCTATCAACAATTTTAAACTTTTTAATTAGTAAATTCTTACGGAACAAAAAAAAAAAATCAAAACTAAGTAAATTCAGCTTAATCATCTTGCACATAATTGAAAATATATATATATATGTGTGTGTGTGTGTGTGTGTTTATATGTAATGTGTATATATGTTGTCTAGCACTATCTTTTGCTTAATGAAGGGGCAATATATATATGTGTGTGTGTGTGTGTGTGTGTGTATATATATATAGTCTCGATTATTATTAATATGACAGATGATTTTTCTTAATCTTGTTTTTTTTGTTCACTTATTTATTTATTTGGATATCGCACAAGTCATTGGTTGTTGAAATTTTGTCGTTGTTTACCAACCAAAGCGACTTCCTCATTTTCTTTTTTGTCTACTAGTTTAATTTTGAGTAATTTTAGTTTAATGCATGCGCATATGTTCTTCATCATTATATATATATATATATATGGCTAAATGCTACTAAGAACATATGTACATATATATATATATATATGATTTTGGCGTAAACAATTTTTACTAATATGGTGTGAAAATCAAAGAATTATGAAAAATTATACTTTGTCATGCAAAATAGGAAGTAATTAAATATAAATTAAAATTAAATGTCTATAAAATACTAAAAATAAGTAGTGTTTATTCTTTTCTAATTATATCCCATTTTGACTAAGCACTGATTTCATTGTTAAATATATTATATATGTTTATTAAAAGATATAAATTTAATTTATATAGTAAAAATAAGTCTTGATACGTGACTATCTCAAATATATGTATATATATATATAATTTTGAGGGATTTTAAAAATAATTAAAGATGGAGAAACAAGGAGCAAATAGCAATTGAGAATTGAAGAGTAGTGGTCCTATCAATTTTTATTGTAATGAAGTTGTTAACTAACTAATTAATTTAATTCCTAATTGGTTGAATTATGTGCTTAACTTCTAATTAAACATATTATATAATTTGAAGTCAAAGAATTATTAGTCCTCCTATAAACAATAGTAAATATGTCAAGCTTGTATTATTGTTTTGATATATTTTAACTTTATACTTTTAAATTTGAACTAAGTCACCCTTAGTTAGGATTATAAAGTTGCTACAATTGAGATTTAGGATTCGAAGGAAGAAGACGGGCTAGGAGAAAAAAATGATAAGAAGAAAAGGGGGCTTCGGGGATTAAAAAAAAAAATTATAATTTTTAATTTAACATAACAGATATATCATCGTTTACATACTTTAATTTTGATATATCATTAACTATGTATCATAAATATCATTAACTATGTATCATAAATTTAATAGCAAATAAGTAATCATTATAGTAAGACTGAATAATTAGAAATTTAAAAATATAAAATAAAAATAATAAGTGAACTTAGATTAAAACAACCAATAGTGTACGAGCTTATGATGATGAATATTCTCATAATTTTAAATGAGAATATATATTCGAGTCATATATTGTGCATTTTATATATTAAATTTATTCGTTTAAAACTTAAACTATGTTTGTTCTCTTTAAAAAAAATTGTGTTATTACTAGTGTATATATATATATATATATATATATATATATATATATATATGCATGTTTAATTATACATATAAATTTACATACATGCAAAGAAAAAAAATTCAAAATATTACAAAGACATAATTCAAAACATACCAATTAGATTATAACTTTATGTATTATCATGTAACACTTAAACAAATTTTTAAAATTTGTGGTTGCTTTGCTTTGCTACCAAACCCACCTAACACCCTACACCAATAAATTGGCTTAAATTTTAAATTAATTTATTTATTTATCAATCTTTTTAATGTGCTTTGAATGGTAAACGTATAAATCAACTTAAAAAGCAAGAAATTAAACAAAATTACAAATAAATTAGCTTAAAAAACACACAAACACACACATATATTTATATATATATATATATATATTCAATGTCATCAATTAGCTTACATGAGATTTGATCATTTAACTAACTCAATTGACATGATTTGATTTTGATCCAAAGATGAAAGTGAGATGTTTAGTTGGACTTATAAACATGGAATTTTCAAAATAAGATCATAAACTTTTAGAATTTGGGAGTTGGACTTGGAGGAAGCAGCCTACGTGGAAACTCTTTATGATGCTACATACATACATACATACTTACATATATATATATATATATGAGTTAACTAGGTAGAAAGTACATTATATATATAGACTACCAAAACCAAGCTTGGAGTACATTGTACCATGCGTTGATTAACTAAAGGAATTAGTTTAGGTAGTAATTTTTATTTTTATTTTTTATATTTTGAATTTGATTACTATATGTAACATTTTGAAATTAGAAAGATTTTTAATTTTAATGTTACCATAGATATAATTTCAAAAAAGAAAATAAAAAATTAAAATATTTAAAAAATCATATAATATTGTAAATAATTAAATTAAATAAATAAAAAAAAACCTTATTTCCAAACATATTATATGAATACTTAATCTTATGATTAAATAAAAATAAATTATATCGAATCATACGATTTACTATTATAAAAATAGATTCGAGTGTAAAATATTACTGTTAATATAATTACGTAGCAAAAAAGTATTTATGTAAATAAACAAGAGTATTAGTAGATAGTTACAAAATAATTAACATGCATGCATCTCTGTCTCTAACAAAGAATTTACATCAACTTTTGAAATTACAAGCACCGGCCTTCTTTTTCACATTTCAATCGACAAGAACCTAACTTATCATGTCTATATATTATCTTCCATGTAATTTTTTAGGGTTTTTCATCAATTTAATTTATTAAATTAGCTATCAATGTGACTCTTTCTCTCTCTCTCGCTTGCTTGCTCTTCCCATCTTCGTCCTGTTTAATTTGTAGTCTTTCTAGAAGGTTGAAATTTATATGTGTACATATATATATATATATATATGTAGACACACATAGTTACTTGCATGCATGTCTGGTTTAGAATTTCAAACTCAATTAGATAAATCCAAGAAGATTGAACAAAATAATTTGTTAAACTCGAGTAATGAACTGTCCAAGCTCAAGTTACCGAGTAGATTAATTAATCATTGAAGTTCTGACTGTGAGTGTGTGAATGGAAGAAAAATGGAAGAATCAATCAACATGCACGGTAAGATAAGATTATTAACGCGTTCATGCCGCAAGTACTATCTGCTTGGCTGTAATTGACATAAACTGAGAAGAGTACTACCAGAAATATGTCTATATATATATATATAGGTATATATATTACTTTTCCTTTAAGGTTCTATTTTAATTCGTTTTAAGAACTTTCACCTCGGTTAACTTTGTCTTTGTCTTTGCCTTAACGTGTAAAATCACGTCTGCCTCCGGTTCCATCAAATCATGCATTAAGATTCTTAAATATTAATTGATTTAGTAATTGATAGCCACAGTTTTTGACAAAACTCTCATAAACATATATATATATATATCTACTTCAATTGACAATGTATTATTTACTCGGTTAAGAATTGTCTAAGCTTACAGCATCTTTCATCTGGGTATCTTTTAATAGCATAACTGTGTTCTCACTCTTAACGTATTTTCAAACCTTGCCTACTCACCAATCTTTCATTAATTATTCAGCTAAAATTTTCTCCATTTACTCAAAAAATAGTACATACGTTTTGATTAATCTATAACTCATGAAAAAATTCGCCATGCAACCCACATATAGTCTACGTGTTAGGTCACCTGTCAACCCTTAAGCCACCTCTCGCTCTCTCTCTCTATACATATATATATGTGTGTTCTACACTTAATTTCCAACACATCCAGATACACCGCAAACAATATTCCAAATTCTTAACTATATCAATGGCGACTTCTCTGTTTTCTAGGTCTATTTTGAGTTTGGCTCTGCTTGTTCTTGTTATGCTGACGGGAAGCACAACTGCTCAGCTCTCAACAAATTTTTACTCTCGTTCTTGTTCCAAACTCTTCCCCACTGTCAAATCCACCATGCAATCCGCCATCAACAGAGAAAAAAGAATCGGTGCCTCCATTCTTCGCTTGTTCTTCCATGACTGTTTTGTCAACGTATGAAAATATACCAAACCGAGTAGAACAAGATCTTTAACATTATAATTTCGTACTTTCCCAAGATATATATAAGCATGGCACGTGTATACACGTATAGATATACTGTAAAGATGTGTTTATTTATGAAATGCAGGGATGCGACGGGTCGATTCTACTTGACGACACATCCTCCTTCACCGGCGAGAAAAATGCAGCTCCCAATCGGAGATCGGCTCGTGGGTTCGAAGTGATCGATAACATCAAGTCGGCGGTGGAGAATGTGTGTCCTGGTGTGGTTTCATGTGCTGACATTTTGGCCATTGCTGCTAGAGACTCTGTTTCCATTGTAAGCTCCTCTGTTTTCTTGTATCTTCTCGTTAAAAGATTGGTATAGGTGGGTAATTATATATTATACTTAAGTATTGGAATTGTTGATATGACTTTGAATTTTGGTTTAATTAGTACTCTACTTATATTTTGGTTATGTTAAATATTCTCACTATTTTAGTCATACTAAATATCTAATATTTTGAGCCTATAATGTTTACAATATTATCAGATAATATAATTTTATTTTTTTATAATAAAAAACTTTTTTTTTGTTGGTAAACGTAGATATTTCTGTCAAACTACGTAAATTTTATATTTTTCGTTATTTTTTATTTTTTATTTTATCATATTCCGATCATATTAAATATTTTTAGTATTTTAATCGTATTAAAATCAATTGAAATTAATTTAATTTTTTTTAATTTTATTGGTAAATACACTCTCATTTTTTATAGTGTAAAACTTTTTGTATCTTTTTTTATTCTTTACATTATATGATTGTTAGCGTATTTGGGATAATCTTTTTATACAAAATTTTGATTGAAAAATAATTTAATAGCTTGAAGGACCAAAGTGGGAAGTCAAGGTAGGGAGAAGAGATGCAAGAACAGCAAGCCAATCCGCTGCAAACAGAAACATCCCTCCTCCAACTTCAAACCTAAACCAGCTTATCTCCAGTTTCAGCAACGTGGGTCTTTCCACCAGAGACATGGTTGCTCTCTCCGGTCAGTCCCCTTCTCTAAATTCCAACTTCTGCTTACCATTTGAGCTGCTTATTTATTAAGCTGCTTTTTCAGGGGCCCACACGATTGGACAAGCAAGGTGCACGAATTTCAGGGCTCGCATATACAACGAGACCAATATTGATTCTTCTTTCGCAACAACAAGACAAGGGAACTGTCCGAGGAGCTCTGGATCTGGAGATGATAACTTGGCGCCGCTTGACTTGCAGACTCCCACAGATTTTGACAACAACTATTTTCAGAATTTGATCAACAGGAAAGGCTTGCTCCATTCTGATCAGCAGCTTTTCAACGGCGGTTCTACTGATTCTCTGGTGCGCACCTATAGTAACAACCCCGGAGCCTTTAACTCTGATTTTGTTTCTGCCATGATCAAGATGGGAGATATCAAACCCCTCACGGGATCAAGGGGAGAGATCAGGAAGAATTGCAGGAGGGTGAATTAACTTTAAAATTTAAATGCTGGGTCATTGAGCTTCATTAAAAGAAAGAATAAGGTGGGTTTGTTTAGGCATATAGATACGTGGGTGGGTTTCAAGATTTATATATGTTTCCTGAGCAAGTTTCTTTTTTTCCTTTTCCTTTTCCTGTTTCTGGGAGGTCTTAAATATGTTTGCTAAGTAAAAAGGAAGGTTGGTTTTCTGGTTAATTAAATTTAAATGTATCTTCTTTAATCTTCGGGTTCATATTAATTACTGAGATGAACAAAGATTAAACTCTTTACCCAATTTCAAATCTCAATTGGGTCAAGCCTTGTTGGACCAGGTGGATCAGAAAAATTAATTGAACTTAATAATATGCTATTGGACTTGATTATTGGAACATGAATAGATTAATGATGGATTTAATCATATAAGCTTTTCAATTTGTTTTTAAGTAAAATTATCAATTGATTAATTACAATAACTAAAAATATAATTACAACTCAATTTAAAACTCACAATAAATTGATTGGTAAGCTTATATTAGAGAGGAAATATTTTGAATAAATTGAAAGAAGATTTTTAACTTATGAATAGATCTATATATGAATTATCTTCTACTCAACAGTGTATACATATGTGTGTGTGTGTGTGTGTGTGTATATATATATATATGTATATTACATATAGAATAACTTTTCATTTGGGTGATGAGTTGTATAGAGACAAATGCAAGATTCATGCCACCATTTCAAGCAACCATGACATAACACCAATTTCCATCAAATCCTCTAGGGATTCTAGATACCTAGTCTTACATCCCATCAATTTTACTTATACACTATAAACTATACATATATATTGTCAAATAATTGCAACTTGTACATATATATTATTAATATGTTATTTACTTTCGATATTTGAATTTGATCCTTATTTATAATTAAACATCGATCAATAGTCAAATATGTTATTACATCATAAGAAATTTAGGGTTCGTGCCAAAAATGCTCATGCAAGGCTAAAAGTAGTATATATATATATATATATATATATATATAAACGTATGCATGGACACATGTAGAAAAATAAAATGAAAGAATTTCTGTTGAAGCTGAAATCCACACGCCAAGGAAACCTCAAAACATTGAGAGCATAAATATCATAGCTGGCTGCATCTATTGACCATTCAACCAATACACTCTCACCACATTGCTTCACAAAGTTCACCATGTACATATACATACACACACACACACACACACGTACACACATCTACCAAGATATACCCATTAATAATCAACCAGCTTGCTTGCATTTTACTTCTCCTACAATTTTTTTTTTACTAAATTCATATATTTATTAATAAAATAATATACATACATTAATTATAATTTAGTAAAAATAATTTTTTAAGTAAATAAACATGTAAGAGTAAAATTTAATTCAAGTCATAATTTTTTTTAAAAAAAAATAAACATATTAATTATTTAATTAAATGTTTGATATTCTAGCGCAAACTTTAATTACTTTTTTATTATCTCAAAATTTACCCATGCAATATTAATCAAATATGTTTATTGGATCCAAGAATAAAAAATAGTAAATATTAAAAATTATATAGGATATATATGTTTATATAAATAAATTTAAATTCTGAACTCGAGGTAATTGGGTTCCCATACAAGCTTGAGATTATTTAAAATCAAGCTTGAATTCAAATTTTAAACGAGATTTCATTAAGCTAAATTTATGTAATGAAATATTTAATTTGAATCGGATTGTATTTTTTAAAAAGATTAATGTTAAAATAATATTAATTTTTAAATAATCATTGTTAATATCATCTTAACGATAATATTAATCGAACACTAATTTCCTCTGTCTAATTAAATTAAAGTTAGGTCTAAATAAAATTATTTTAAAATTGAAAACTATTTAAAAATATTTTAAAGTATAATATCATACGAAATATAAATTAATTGAATTATAAGTATAGCCCGAGCTTGGTCCACTGAATCTAGCAAGCTCAACCGAAGACCATCATACACTGAGCACGTGAGACATGCTTACATAGCAATTACCTTGTACGCTAAAATTGGTCCTACTCGAGTCGATCAATATATATATATATATATATATATATATATATATATATATATGGATGAGGGGTTGACCTAACTTACATTACTATGTAATTACTAAGTGACTGTTAGATTAAGTAGCAGCATAGAATCAAATAATTAATATATGTTCCTTAAATTTCGAATTCATAAGATTAATTGTTAACATTAATTTTTTCTTTCAATGGGTAAATTATATATACTTTTTTAAAAGACTGTAATTCTATGAACATTAACATGTAATGGCTCAAAAAAATGTTCATAAGTAATGTTATGAACATAAGGTTACCGTAATCTCCTCTGTAGATCATTTAATTTCTACACTCTACTTCATTTAAAAGAAGAAAATTCAATACACAAAGAGAATATATATATATATATAGACATAAAATTAACATATGTATACTAGCGACCTTTCAGCAATTAGAAACTTTTGATACTTCTAAAATAAATATCAGAAAGATAAAAAGAAGTAGAGAACAAGAAATTTCACAAGGAAAAAAGGAGAAGAAAGAAACATTTTAACCAACATCATATGTATATACATAACTATATATAAAGTAAGAAATAATTTTGAAGTGAGTAAAATCAAAAACAAAAATCCAATAAATTTATATATACCAGTCTTGAATTTTATCTCTTGATCCTTTTATTCCACTTGATTGATAATAATTATATATAGAGAAAATAAAAAAGAAAAGGGAAGATCATGATGAGATCTTTAGAGTTTAAATTAATTAACCCAGAATTTAGGTTTGAATAATTTAAATTTAGCCAAAGTAGGAAACATTTTCACTGGAAACCGGGCTGCTATAGCTTGTGGCAGTGGTTGGTTGGGTGTACATAGAAGAAGAAGAGGAAGCAGTAGGAGGAGATGGCGTCAAGGGTGCCACCGGCAGGACTTGTGCTGGTGGTGGTGGTGGTGCAGCCGCAATTGAAACAATCCCAGAAGGGAGCAAAGCTACATGATGATGATGATGATAAGAAGAAGAAGTAGATGCTATATTAATTATATTAGGTTCCCTATATTTGTATCTCAGTATCTCAGCTCTTACAGCATTTAGCTCAGCTTGTAAAGATTGAACTTGCTGCTGCAAAGCTGAAATTGCACCCATGCATCCGTAAACCGGATCTCTTAGCCTCACGTTAGCCTCGTACACTAGACTATTCGCCGTGTCTGCTCTCTGACTTTCTGGTACCTCCTACATTTATTAATTAAGCGATAAATAAAACATTAATTATAATATAAAAATATCTTTTAAGATTAATGGACATACCAAACATTACTATATTGTATATGCAAATTTGAATAAGAGGGATGTATGTATGTATGTATGTATATGTATACCATTAGCATCTTGGAGACGTTGCTGGCGCCGAAGACTTTATGGACGGAAGCAAACTTGTGGGGTTCATGAGGAGAGAAATAGGGAGAGAAGGGACATTCTTGAGCACACCTGCGTCTCAAAAGCTTGCAGGCTGCACATGGAGTTACTGTGTTTAGGGTTCCAGGAGGACCCAACATGTGTCTTCTTCCCATTAATTGACTTGCATGGTCTGCTTCTCTCTTGATCTTCTTCCCTATTTCATCAAATCTCTCCCTGATCCAAAATTAAATTAAACAAATTAACCAAGATGAACACCTGCTCAAGAAAATAAAAGACTTATATATGGTTGTTAATGGTTGTTACCTTTCTCTTGATGACATTGAATAGGCATGCTCTCAGAGGTATGGAGGTGAAGCTGCAGAGAGGTAGAGAGAGAGAGAGACAGAGAGAGAGATCAGAGAGAAGGGTTTGAGGAGAATAAGAAGAGAAGTTAGAGGAGGAGATGAGAAAGGAGAAGAGTGCTTAAAAGGCAAGAGATACTATGAAAGGGTAGTCCATTATACTTATAATATCATGAAAAGATATATACCACCAAACTAATTAAATAGACTCTCTCTTTCTCTCTCTCTCTCTCTCTCTATATATATATAATGTTAAATTACTGTGTATATAGTATATATATAGTACGCTGAAGAAGTTAATTATGTTTTGTTTGTCAGAGTCGGCTATAATTTGCAGAGAAATAAGAAGAAGATCTAAAGAAGATACTTACAGTCACTATATACTATATAGTCTATGATTTACGGATCTTACTTCAATGGAGATGAGCAGAGGAAGAGGCCAGAAATCAGAGGGTTAATGTTGCATATATATTGACATTTACAGCTCTTTTCATGGCTGCCCACGTGTGAGTCCCTTACATGTTTTGACTTTCGGAATCTAATTAAACCCACCACTTGACTCTATATATATATATATATATTATAACCAAGCTTGTTTACTGTGAGAGAACCATGTGCACTTTGCGGAGACCTAAATCTAAACCAACTTTTTATGTAATATATATATATATATATTATATAGCCAGTTTTTTTTTTTTTTAATTAAGTTAATGATCCAAATTAAAACAAAAAAAATTATAAACGTAGTAGGTTGTTTTGGAGGTGCGCATGTTAGTTTCTTGTCAAAATCAAGAAGCCATCTTTGATTAAAAAGACCATGTCTGGGATCTTGCTCCCAAAATTATATTCGCTAAATTAAATTAATATTCCCATCGCCGTGTACAATCCGCAATATATATATATATATAATTCATCAACATGCCATAATCAATTTCATATTATATATATATATATATATATATATATATATCTCAAACATTTCGCTAGCTTTGGTAGCATTCTGAATGACCTATACCAAGAAAAAGATTGAACAACTCTTTGGAGAAGTACATTTATTTGTGCTTTGTAGATAGCAACTTGATGGTATATATATATATATATATATATATATATATTAGGAATTTACAGTCGCACATGTGCTGATATTTCAGACACACCACCTACGACGTTTATATATATATATATATATATATATATGTATGTATCTAGGAACTTTACTTCACAGTACCACAAGAATCCTTTCACTTGTCAACCCTTCAATCTAACACTATTAGAAGAATTATTAGGCGTTTTGACAGAAATATATAAATTATTAGAATGAATATATACATATATATATATATATATTTGATATACTTTAAATTTTTATTTCATATTTTTATAAGAGTTTAAAGTAAACTAATTACAATATTATAGGATCAAACATTCAACTTAAATGTGTTGTTAAAGCACGTATGTAATAATTATTTTCAATTAACACACAAATATATATATATATATATATTACAATAACTTTACAACATAAATATATAAAATAATTAATAACATATCTATAATAAAATAATTAATAGAAAAAAGAGTAATTAAATTAGAATAATTATGGTCAAATATATTTTAAGGGTCAACAGACGCTCCCCAGTCCTCTGTTCAGTCTTCCCCAACCTAACCAGCTACCCAACTTTCATCTTCATTTAAATCATCTCTACAATACTTTTGACTATCTATACGAATATATATATATATATATATATCAATAAATTTCATAGTCTTCAAAACATCAGAAAAAATCTTGGATATATCAAAGGACATGCCTATATATATATGCACGCACACATTTTCAACATTTTATATACCAAACAAACATTCGTTATATATCTCCCCGTATATATATATATATACACGCTGTATCAATGTATATTCTGTGTGAACGGTCAAAACATATACATATATAATATGTTTTAATTTCAATTTTGTGAAATATAACAGAAATTCTACGTAGTAATTAGCTGTAGAAATACAAATTCCACGTGCTAATCAACCGTATACATGCGCATGTGTATTATATATATATATATATACACACACACGTATATCCATATTTATTAGTAATGGGCATGTTTGTGTATATATATATATCCACATTTGGTAGCAATCCATATTTACAATTTTATGTACACTATATTATAAAGATAACATGTATATTCAAGGGCGGTCAAACTAAAAACAGTAAATGAACTAAAAACTACATGAACATAGAGCAATACTTTCTAAGCTGTACTGTATAACAAATATATTATATATATATATATGTATGTATGTATCTCTGTGTGTGTGTGTGTGTCCAAGTCCACACGGGTCTCCATTTATCGTGATAATTTTGTTGTCATAGTAAAAGCGGCGCCAACATTTGACAATCTGTGCATTTTTATATTATCTGGTCTTCAAACTTCTAAGATCCCATGCATGTAGTTTAGATTTTCAATTTTTTTCTTTCTTTTCTGTTCGCTAATCTTCGGATATTAATTATTTATATAATTAAATTGATGGGTTTCATTTGCTAAAAAATTTATATTTTTAAAAAAGAAATGAGTCCGTTGCTTTCGAGCTTGAAATCTACAATTTTCTCGGGCCATTTCTACAACTTCACCCCAAATTTTCTCACAACCCAATCAAGTTTTAAGCCCAGCATTTTCTTCAATATTACATATTCTTGAAATTGGACATTGCAATGGAGTTTTGGATTCTGTAAATTGCGGTACAGTAGTTGTAAAAAGATCGAAAATGGTTTTAGGTTTTAGAGCTGTTAGGTTAATCCATGTTTAGTACAGAGGTGAGCAGAAAATTTTGATTCATTAATGGTTTTATCTTTGAATCAAAACTCACTGAGCTGATCAATGTGGTTTTCTTTAATCTCATCTATATTATTTATTATCTATGACAGATATAGTCTTGAATTCAATGTTCTAATCTTACTGTAACTTGAGTTGGTGGCTACTAAATTTAATGCATTTCTCTTAATTTATAAAAAAGATTGTTAATTCTTATTAATTTCTCTACAATTAATTTATATATTTTATTTAATTATAAATTTTATTAGAAATTAAAAATAATAATAATAATTAATTTACACTATATTAAGGTATCATAATTTGTTAAATATTATATTTAAATAATTATATCCATGTTAAATACAGAAAATCAAATCAAGAAAAAGGGTGGCAGCAATAAATGTGAGCACATGGTTAATTAATTAACAATGGTTTCCCATTAAGTACAAAGGTTTTAAATTTTCCCACCTCCCCATCCTCTGAAAATATAGTTAATTAAATTTCATCTAATAAATGACATAATTAATCAACCTAACCCAAAATCACAACCAGTAATTAATTAATTAACTAATTAATCAATTTAATTTAGTTATGGGTTTAAATTTTTGTTTATTTTCATTTGAAAATTATGTATTATAATTAATGTTGTGTATTACTGTTTAAAATATATTAATTTCTTCAACAAACGTATGGGCACGGACCAGGCAGTGACACCAAACAAGATATAATTAACTAATTAACACACCACGAATCTAGAGTGAAGATTCTACACGGCTTCAAAATTCTAAGAAAAAATAAAAATGATTAACAAACTAATTAATATTTCCTACTAATCAACCATTCAATACCTTGTTTAATTAAAACTTAACCTTGATCTTACATCATTCATGGCCGACAATGGAGAACACAGCATTATTCTTCATGCTACCTGATCTACGTCTACCATGAAAGCACAAAGTAGTATCGTGTTCTTTCCGGCGATCCTGACCATCACCGTGGTTAAATCTCAGTCCTGGACACGAAGGAACCCGACGTGGCCGCCGGCAGGACTCCCGGTTGGCTACTTTCCCGCTGTTATTCTTCGACCCGGACGACTGGTACGAGTAGTAGGAAGAGGAGGAAGATGAGGATGAGGAAGAAAACGACGACGTAGAATAAGAAAAAGAGGTGGACGAGAGAGTAGTATTGTTAGGGTTCTTGATCTTTAAGGTGGCGATAAGCTTGGAGAAGAGAGAGGCTAAAAGGGTTTGTTTATTGATAGACTGTTTTTGGATGGATTTGGAGTTGTAATAGGAAGGAGGAGGGGTGAGAGGAGGGAGCAAAACGGTGTCGGAGAAGAGAGAATGTTTAGGTGTACCTGGTTGTGACTCCCACATAAAGGGCACCGACACTGAGCCGCTATAGTAGACTCTTGAAGAAGAGTTGGCTCTTGAGTTTTCTTTAGTCACCAGTCTGGAGAAAAATTTCTCGTCTAGTTTCTTGGTTTGGTGAGATTGTTGATGATGAGATGTGATGGTGTTGGGAGATGAATTGGTACCAAAGCTTGAAGGCATATCTTCTTCTTCTTTGTGGTTTTAGGGTTTCCCCTGTTTCTCTCTTTGAGGTTCTCTGCTAAATCTTTGCTGCTGCTTTTTGCCAGGTATGAAAATATTCAAGAGCCGAAGTTGAAGCTTTTGTAAAGAACTAGAATCTGTCTCGTCTGGGTGAGAGTTCTTTGGCCAGCTACCCCAGTGGTTTACGGTTTAATTTAAGTCCCTTTAGCAACCATCATATATATATATATATATATATACATATATATATATATTAAATATATAAAATAATAACCATATGCACACACTTTGACACTTTGAAAGAATTTTATAACTCGGCCATGTTTATAGGTGGGACTGTATGGTATGAAAGCGGTTTTACTGTGTATAAAGCCTAAATTTAGAAATGGAAAATAAATGTAAGTGTTGCCCTAATTAACATTACTTATTTACACTATATATATATATATATATATGTAATACCACTGAATTTTTTACGTGTGGGTAAAATAAAGGGAGTTTTCGTAATTAACATTTCTTATTTGAAAAAAAAAATCCAATCCCTTAACTTCCAACTAAACTTTCAATATATATATATATATATATTAATTTTGATATGATGATGACATGATGTGTATATTATATTTTGAATTCACAAGATATTTTTTAATTTGCAATCGAATAATTTAGACATAATAATCTATTATATAAGAGTGACAATACACAGATGGTGGACTGATTTTGACATATGATGACAATATAATTGGGACGATTAATTACTAATAAATAACTTAATTTGTCTAATTAGTTATTACTTAATTAAATAGTTGGTGCATGTATTTTTTTATTATAAATATAAATATATATGTATATATAATTTTGAATTGAATTATACATTATATCTATTATTTAATTTATTAAAAAAAATAAGTAAATGTTTAAATTAAATTAATGCTTGGGGTAGCTGCATAATTGATAATATTTTGGAAGAATGTGTATGTCATTAATTAGGTGGGGGGAGGTGGATTAATCTGGACCGTTGATTTTGATCAAGATGAAGAGAAACAGTTGAGAGTGATGAAATTTGGTTAGGGTTGAGCCAAAACCCATCATAAATGAGAACTTGGAGTGGTACCCCATCAAAGGCTATGATTTATTATGGGTGGGGGAGAGATGATAACTCGTTAAATTCGTATATACATACATATATATATATATATTATTTCTCAAGAAATTAATGTGGGTAATGTTGTGTGTGTGTATATATATATATATATAAATATGGTTTAGGTTTATAATATTGGGTATATAATAAATGTTTGGGACCCCTAAAATTTGATGCCGATCTTGGGTTATGAATGAACTAGGTTTTGCTAGGACCAATTGATGGACCACAAACATGACCTTGATAGTGTATTAATCTAATTAGTGTTAAAGGGTATTTTATTATTTTGATTCTAATTTTTGGCTCCCATTGAAATTGTGCCCAAAATACAATCCATGCTTTACAAGAGAAATATCTTAAATCAGCATTTAATTATTATGTACACGTATATGTACATACCATTTATTATTTTCCTCAAATGTGTTTAATTTTAATAACTCAAGATGTTGAATTTGAATTATATTATATGTAATAAATGTTATCAGCTTTCATCAATATCTAATTTTAAATTCATGAAGGCAACAAGAATGCCAATCAAATTCACTACCAAAAAAAAATAAATTATTTAGAACAAAATTTGCTCTAAAAAAACTAATCGAATATAAGTACTTAAATAATAACCTCGTATAGTTCACGACTTCAAAATTTTGAAAGAACATAACTTTGTATTTAATGTGTTTGAGAAAGATAGTGAGAAAAATAAAAGGATGTGAGAAACAAAGAAACCCTAATAAGGTTAACAAATTTTTTCCTCTCGATTCTTTTATAAATGTCCCAACGAGAATGCGACATTTATAAATATAAAAATAAATCAGATATATGAATCCTAATAATTCTATATGTACATATATACCTACATACTACAACTCAGTTGTCATTCTTTTAATGTAGGTCTATGTATCTTTACTTATGTTTTCACTCGAATTGGTCAGAGTTCAACTTTCAACACACCCAAAAGTTTATTTGAACTTTTTTGTAACTAAATATATATAGTTTTTCAAAATTTATATAATATTATTAAATAATTACCAAATTAAAATCTGATAGAAATTTATAAATGAAATATAACTCTTAATTTTAAAGCCTTCGAACTCACAATTTCCAATTTGAGTTTCGTTTTTTGAACATATTTTCATTTTTTGATAGCTATATACTAGCTAGTATTAGATTAAATCTAAAGAAAATGATCTCTATTTTTATGGACTACGAAGGTTGATTATAATTTTTATGAGATAAATGACACTAGGATCAATATATATATATACACAAGTTTATAATTATTTGTGTAATATATAAGATGTAAAATATACGTGCAATTAATCTCATAAAAATATTTAAAATTAATAAATAGATAGGTGGTGTTTGTGTATATGATTGGTGTATAAGTTTATTATATTGAATTTTTTATTCCCCCGTGATGTAATTGAAATATCTAATGATATTACAGATAATTTAATGAAATGAATTGAAAATTTGAAAGATTAAATTGTTATTTCTCAAAATTAATTGTATATTTATCTGAATAATTTTTTAAAACATAAATTTAATTAGCCTAAATTTATTGTTATGATAAACACACACGCATATATATATATATATATATATATATATATATATATTATATGATATCTTACAACAATAGACTATATATATGTGTGTGTGTGTGTGTGTTTACATTAAAAGAAAAATTAAGAATCATAACAATCAATGAAAATCACCACTAGGTAGCAATCGTGATAATAATAAATCATGATTAAAGATAACCTCGAGTATTAATCACCCATAATTAAAATAATTAATTAATTTTCTCAAGGAATTCCAATTATCAAAAAACTCACAAAGAAGAGAAAAGGTGATGCATGTATAGGATCTACCATTCGGCATCATGTTATAAATTAAATTCTTACCCGTACATTTACTATCCACGTATTTTAAATTTTATGATAATTAATTAATTTAATAAGATAATATATATGTGTATATATATATGGGAGAAATAAGAGAAGAGATTGTAAGAAAATTTAACGGGGAAGTCATTTTAATTGAATTCAATATATTTTAATAAAAAAATATAAAAAAGTTAGAGGTACATACCATTTGAAAATAATACAGTATAACATGATTGAGATATCCCTTCATAAAATTCTTAATTCTCCGACTCATACTATTTAATTATTATATACAATAATTTTGAAACTTTAGTTGATGAAAAACTCATATAAAAAGAAAATTTATATTTTTTTTTGTGATAGCACGAACTCAC